AGCTGGCAGTGAGCGCCCTGGGCCAGGCACACCTCACCCGCGGGTGCCAGGAGCCTGCTGCTGCCACCCTCCCTGAGGGAACACTTCCCGTCCATGCCACAGCCCTGCTCCAGCGGTCAGGGTGCATTCCGGCCCGTGTCCCCCTCTCCCCCCACCCTGCCCCCGGCATGTGCACTCCCCCCATGCACACATAAACGCACACCTCAATAACACGGACACACATGCACACGTACATGTGTGGACACATGCCTGTGTATGGTGCACATGTGCACATACATGCATTACAGTTGATCCACCGCTGAGTATTGAGCACCCTGTGTGTGCGCACACCTGTGGATGCTGGGAGCTGTTATGTTAGGGACGCTGTGGCTTTAACACGCCACTCCCGCTCCAGGTGGGTAGCTGGGAGGCCCAGATCTGGGGTAGGTTCAGCAAGAGCCAGAGCCCCAGTCCCAGAGTTACCCTCTGTCCCACTGCCGCCCCCCATCCCCCACCCCTACACACACACACACAGCTCTGCACAACCAAGGCGCAGGCAGGCCAAGACACTCGGATCCCAGAGGGTGCTCAGCAGTGGAGCCTGAGGCCGGGACTCCTGGGCCACGGTGCAGCCTGCTGGGCCTGGGGAGGGGCGGCAGCCCTCCGGGGTCATTGCTTCATGGGATACTTTGTTCTCAGGACCCACGAGCCCCCCTCAGCCTGTGGCTGCCCAAAGAGCTGGGCCTCAAGGGCCAGATGGGGCCTGGGTCAGGGGGCTCGGCTCAGGGAGCAGGGAGCTCCCCCTGTGACCTCCTGACCCCAGGTGGCCTTTGACCGATGGACGCTTCCCAAACCGGCCCGTGGCTCTGGCCCCGCCTGCCGGGAGGGCGGCCTGCTGGGTGAGGAGGCCTGGCTGCCGTTCCAGTCCGTCCTGCTGGGGCATCCCCTGTGGCCAGCCCTGCCCGCCTCTGCCCAGGATCCCCTGGCATTTCCTCCGGCGCTCCTCCCTTCCCCCCCCCCCACCCTCTTCCAACAGATGGCACTGGGTGCCCACAGGGGGCCCAGGCCCTCCCGCAGCTCTTCCTGCCTCCAGCAGGGCGACAGGCAGCAGCACTCCAGTCTGTTTAACGTGGAAATAAAGGACCTCTTATTAGCCGGTGGTGCTGGCTGTGGTACACACACACACACACACACACACGTACGTGTGGCACTCCTGGTGCCCAGGGGAGTGGCAGGAGGAATGTGCATGGATCCTTCCCAGCCCACACACAGCAGGAAGGTGGCAAACGCTGAGCCCACTGGCTTGGCCAGGGTCTCCCCACTGGGGGGTTTTGCTGGGACCACAGGCATCTGCCCTCTCCCCCCTGCTCTGGGGGGCTTATCAGGCACAGCTGAGGGGCTGGGAGTTTGAAGGGTGGGGTACAGGGAGCCCTCAGCTGACCTCTGATCCCGTCTAAAGGCACCAAGGCAGGAAATGAGCTCCAAGCCAAGTGTCCAGCAGCAGAGAGGCCAGCGAGGGGAGGGCCTGGGGCAGGTCCCAGAGGGTGGGGGACAGAGGGGGGCTTGCCAGGCAGGAGGTGGGCAGCAGCCCAGGGTTGGCAAGGTGAGGGCCTGGCTTCCCCGGGTCCCTCCGGAAACAGGTCACATGGGCAGGACTCTGCAGCGCGCAGGGCTCCTGGCCAGCAAGCCTGCACGGAGCTGGTGTAAGCAGAGAGGATGAGTTCAAGTTCGAAGGACATGGGAGGGTCCCTGGAATCTGGGGGGGAAGAGCTGCCAAGCTCTGAGGCTGGCCTCCCTGGAGGCGTCCCTCTCCCCGGTCTCCACCCCCTCTCGCGCCTCTTCGCTTTGCCTTTTCTATCTCTGAGCAGCTTTTTTTTTTTTTCTTTTCTTTTTTTAAAAATATATTTTGATTTTTTTTTTTTCCACAGAGAGGAAGGGAGAGGAATAGAGAGAAACATCGATGAGAGAGAAAAACTGATGAGCCACCTCCTGCACACCCCCTACTGGGGATGTGCCCGCAACCAAGGCACGTGCCCCTGACCGGAATCAAACCCGGGACCCTTCCGTCTGCAGGCCGGCGCTCTATCCACTGAGCCACACTGGTTTCAGCTGCAGAGCAGCTTCTCTGTTTGTCCGGCACTTGATGGCAGACGATGCCCACCGCTCCCGCCACCTCCACGGCACTGAGCCTACAAGTGACCAGGTCAAATCCCTGGCAGAAGCCAGCTGCAAATGGTCCTGCTTCCACCGTCCCAGGAAAGGCCGGCCCAGCTGGGCCAGGTCCCCCGACCCCTGCCCAGAACAAGGGTCTCTGTATCCCCAGCCAGCCGTGTAGTGAGGGCTGGCTGGGCCCCTCCAAACCTCCGAGTTGCAGGGAGGGCATTCAGAGAAGAGCTGTGCTCCCCCACAGGCTGGGCAGGGGAGGGGCCCTGGGGGCTGGTGGGCATCGGCGACCTGGCGGTGACTGGGGAGATTTGGGAGGGAGATGGGGCAGGAAGGTCAGAACAGGAAGATGTTGCTCTACAGTGAGCTTGGTGATTGGCGTCTGGTGTTAGGGGGTGCCCATGGGATGGGGGTTCTTTGAAGACCTCTGGGTCAGGGTCTGATGCCCCCGGACCCCTCTTCCCCCACCCACACCCCCACCGGCTTCTCTGCTGACAGCCGCCTGGTACTGCTGTTGGCATCGAACCTGTATCTGCCAAGCCCAGTCCCAGCTTCCCCGACGGGGCAGAGCCTGCCTCTCCATTCCACCGTGATGCTCCTGGGCCTGGTATCCATGACTCACGCGGTCCGGTCATGCCTGCTGTAGTTGACACACTCCGGCCCAGAGGTGGGGCCGCCCCGGGTGGAATGTGACAGCTGCTGAACATCTGGCCAGCAATGCAGCCCGGCAGCCACGCAGCGGACGGTGGGGTGGCCCTGCCCTGCAGAATGTCTGGCCCGGGGCCAGCCAGCCCACCTGGTTCCCCGAGCCCGGCCCGGGCAGGAGCTCCCGGGCTTTGCTCTCAGTGGCCTTCAGGTGGCACATCTCCCACCAATCCAGGGTGGGGACTCCTAAGCCCGCGTCCCTCCCGGCTCTGCTGCCTGTTAAACCCCGAAGGTCCCGTTAGCACAGCCCCTGCTGGTGAGAGAGAGGGGCTGGCTGCCTCTGTTCTGCAGCCAGGAAACAGGCTCAGACACGTCACGTGCCTCGTCCAAGGTCACACGGTTTGTTCTGATCCAAACCCTGGGGGTGAATGAGGAAGGAGAATTCCTGGAAGCAAGCCCCCGGGACATGCTCCAAGCGTGTGTGTGTGGGGGGGGGGGGGGGAGGATGGGACATCACTGTGACCAGGTGTGCTGTTCGCCCAGGGCTGTCCCCGTCTGTACCTGTGACACCAGCGTCATTGTGAGGAGTGCCGTCTCTCATTCTCAGAAATGACCCGATTTGGACAGGAAACTCCAGGGTCACCCTGTCACTCCTGCATTCCTGCACGGTCTCGCCCCAAGTGGCACGCTTCCTGGAGCTTAAAGCCTGGTACGGTCCAGGTGGACCTGCGCTGCAGACACACTTCCTGTCTGCTCTTCCGTGGAACGGGAGTGAGTCCGGTTTCAGAGTTCTTAGAGCCAGTGGCTTCCAGAGACCCGCACTGAGCCTGTGCAGTGAGTGCTCAGGAAAGTCGGTTGTATTAACAAAACCCAAACTCATTCTAATTTAAAAAACAAACAAACAAACATTTTTATTGATTTCAGAGAGGAAGGGAGAGGGAGAGATAGAAACATCAGTGATGAGAGAATCATCCATCAGCTGCCTCCTGCACGCCCCACACTGGGATGGAGCCAGCACTCGGTCCTGTGCCTCCCGGGGGAATTGAACCAGGACCTCCTGGTCCATAAGCCACACCAGCCGGCTCGTTCTAACCGAGTTAGTGTCGCTGACTTCCCTACGGCACTTTGTCCTCGTGCATCTCCCCTCACCCCCAACACAACTACAGGGTTTTGTAGTTTTCTCTCTGGAGTTAACAGTGAGGCCTGGGGGCCACACCTCCCTCTCAAAGCGCGCACTGGCCCGGGGCGCACGGGGCGGCAATACCGCACCCGCCCGGCGGGTGGCGCACTCACTCCCGCCGCCGCTCCCGCATCCGCTGTGCGAACTGAGTCCGCACCCGTGGCTTCGCGGGGCGCCCGCGGCGGGCGGGGCGGGAAGGGCGGAGCGGAGGTCCCGGAGGCGCGGGAGGAGGTGCCCGCGGCGGCCCGCGCGCTCCTTGCCTCCGGCCGGGGGCGGGCCGGCCCCGCATAATAGCCGCTTTGATGCCGGCGGCGGGCGGCGGGCGGGGAGGGAGGCGGGCCGGAGGGGAGGCCCGGAGAGGTGTGTCCGGCCGCCCGCGCCTCCCCTCCGCCCGCGGAGCCGCGCCACACGCCGCGGGAGCTCGGACCGGGCGCCAGAGCCTCCAGCGCTCCCGAGCCGCCGGCAGCCCCGCGCTCGCCATGTCGGTCGCGCCCAGCAACAGGTTTCAAGGTAGGCGCCGCGCTCCCGCTCTCCTGCACCCCGCACCCCGCACCCCGCTCTCCCCGCGCTCCCGCTCTCCGCATCCCGCACCCCGCTCTCCCCGCACCCCGCTCTCCCCGCGCTCCCGCTCTCCGCATCCCGCACCCTGCACCCCGCTCTCCCCGCACCCCGCACCCCGCTCTCCCCGCACCCCGCACCCCGCTCTACCCGCACCCCGCTCTACCCGCGCTCCCGCTCTCCGCACCGCACCCCGCACCCCGCCCCGTCCGGCTCCCGTCCCGGGTCTCCCCGCGCACGGTGCGCCCCGGCCCCCGCCTCCCGCGCCTCTTTGTCTCTCCAGGGGGGAAGGCGTTCGGCATGCTCAAGGCCCGGCAGGAGCGGCGGCTGGCCGAGATCAACCGGGTAAGTGCGAGCCCGGCCCCGCCGCCCGGGCAGCTTGCGGGTCCCGGGGCCGCGCGCCGCTGGTCCCCCCAAAGTTTCCAGCGCCCCGCGGGGGCCCCTCTCCATCTGCGAGGCTGTGCCTCCCCCCTCTTCCCCCCAATTTCCTCCCTCCTCCCCGGCCCCCGTGCCTCCAGGTAGGTCCCCTCACCCCCTCCACTCCGCCCGGGACCTGGCGTCTGGGGTTGCAAGTTGTTACTCTTAGACCGGGAGGCCGGGCCGGGCTGGGAGCCGCGGTATGCCGGGCACCCCGCCCCCCAAGCCCACCTGGGACCCGCCAGGAATGTCTGCTGCCACCGCCCAGAGAGGCTGAGAGTGTGGGGCAGGCTGCCCCAGCTCCCCTCGCCACCAGGGAATGCTGGTCTCCTGCCTGCCTCACCCCCACCCTCGCCACTCCTCCCCATCCCCATCCCACGTGTAGGGAGGGCTCCCCCAGAGCCTCCATGCCTTCCTGCGGGTGTTGGTGGGTTCCTGTAAAGAAAGCCATGCCTCGGGGCGGGCACACGGTGTGTAGCCAGCGGGTGGACTCTGGAAGATGAGGCAAAGTGTGCGAGCCTGCGGGATTGGCCAGAGCAGAGGCCGCAGCCAGCTCTGGTCTCCGCCTGGGGGCAGCGAGGGAAGCCTGCAGTGGGCTTGGTCCAGCACCCGCCTGAGGGGACCTCCGTGGACGGTGCTAGAATTATTCTCCCAAGTTGCTTTCTAGCTGGCGGTGGAGGAGGCATGTCCACGGAAACCAGGCTGGGCATTCCCCTGCCGACTTCCTGGGGGGAGGGGGCTGAGCACCAGGGTCCCTGCCCAGCTGAGTCCCAAAGTGGGAAGCGGTGGGGTCGGCGGGGTCCTGGGGAGGCTGTGGGGCGGGGCAGGCACGGCATGGTTGCAGTATTTCAGTGGGGTGTGCGGGGGCTTGCAGTGTGGACTCCCTCTTTCGTGTCTTGGATCGTCTAGAACTAGGCAGCCTGTCTGATGTCACTCCCCTGGCTACAGGAGTTTCGGGGGACCCCAGGGCCCCTCATGGCCATCCCTACCCTGCGTGTTGCCGTCATCGGGAGCACAGCCTGAAGGGAGCCTGGATGTCTGGCTGGGATCTCAGGGGGCTAGGCTGTTGGGCCCCCTCCCAGCTGTCTGCAGCCCGCAGCTCTTGGCCGGGCCTGCCCTCTGGACAGGCGCCTGGAACCCTGACCTCATACAGCCCCCTGGGCCACTGGGCCGGGCGGGCTCCACGCTGGCCGAGTCCACCCACAGCCGGCAGGACCTCGAGCCAGGGACAGCTGCGGATGGGGAGAGGGGACTGCAGTTGGACAGGCCGGGGGAGCTGAGAGTGGGACTTTCCGTGCCAGCCAGCCCCGCCCGCGGAGAGGGCAGACTCTGGGGTGGCTACAGGGTTGTTTTGGGGGCGACTGGGTTGACTTGGAAAGGAGGGCCGGGCTGGGCAGCACTGGGCTGGAGAGGGTGAGCAGGAAGCTGTCTACCCCACTTGGAAGCCCGATGCCCAGATAGGGCAAGCATCAGGTCAACGCCACACAGAAGCCAGAGTCAGAGCTGTGGTCCAGCACCCTTCCGCTGCCCAGGTGCCGTTCGGATGCCGCTGTGTGAGCCAGGCCGCTGGGCGCGGGCTCTGGGCCCCTGGAGGAAGGAGGCTCTGGGACCCAACCCGAAACCGGAGCTGCTTCCCACCGCAGTGGGTGGAGGTGGCCCCGCCAAGGCTCAGAGTCCTGAGGGGAGGGGAAGGAACAGGAGGGGAGGGAGGGGAGGGTGTTGTTGGCTCTGACCTTGAACCAGGCATCTGAGATAATGGTAGTCGGTTGTTGTGATTTTTCTGCGATATAATCTATGTGCTGCACGTAGGAGAGCTGGCTGCTGTCACGATGGTTATCGTTGGTTTGTTTAGGGCTTAAAGGCGCAGGGAGTGGAAACCGAGGCTGAGATCTGCCCGGCCCCTGCTGGCCGCGCAGCCTTGGTCTGGAAGAGCCTTGGTCCCTGAAACGGGAGCCGTGGTCCCTGCCCTGCTCCGGCCCACAGTCAGAGGGGGTGAGCCGATGGAGCTCTTTGCAGACTCGGAGGGAGTCACTCTGAGGGTCTAGGTCCGTTTCACCCCTGGCCTTGGCCATAATGGGGGCTCCCTGGAGTGGACAGGTTCTAGAGGGAACCATGTGGGCAGCCACTGGCCTCCCTTTGGGGTTCAGCTTCACTGCCTCCTGGAATGGGGGGGTGGACTGAGCCGCTGCCCCGCAGGAGGAAGTAGGAAGCGGTGAAGGACAGGGCTTCGTGGCTGCTGCTGGGGCAGAGCCTAGCGGGCTGGCAGCTCTGGGGGGTCTAGGATCAGCATCCCATTTCCTTTGGGGGCTCCCCCCGCTCCTCAGGGTGGGCCAGCTCCGGAGGGCGGCAGGGCAGCTCAGTCTTAGCCGCTGTTACCATCGGGGATTCACGAGTGGAAATAGACTGGGTGGGCCCCACGTCCTGGCCGAGCTGGATGGAAACGTGCTCTTTGGGTTTCACTGTGGCCTTTGCTATCGTTTTCTGAGCCCTTGGCGTGTGCCAGGCGGTGTGCCAGGCGTGCTTGGGGCATCGTCTTATTGACGGCTTACTCTGACCCTGTGAGTGCGGGTTCCCGTGTCACAGAAACAAGGCTCGGAGGAGGCTGAGGCAGCTGCCTGGGTTTAGAGCCTGCTCTCAGTCTCCAAGCTGGACTGGGTGTGTGTGTGTGTGTGTGTGTGTGTGTGTGCATTCTCTGCACTATGGAGCAGGCAGGCCAGGCGCACACCTCCTACTCCCCCCACATAGCTGACATTCTCCGAGCCCTGATGGCATGGCAGGTGACCCCAAGGCCAGCAGGCCCAGCCTTATATGGCAACAGAACACATTCTCTCCGGCTTTGCACAGGGACAGAGGGCAGTGGTGGGGCTGGTGGGTGCCCTTATCCTTGGGACCTCGGAGGGGCTGCGGGGTGGGGGGGAGCCCGCAGGCCATGGGGGTAGGGAGGCTGCAGCTGGAGCCAGCCAGAGGCCGGCATCTGGAACCAAACAGGAGGCGGGCCTGGCGCTGCCCTGCATCAGCTCACTGACTCCTGTCAGAGGAACGTCAGGTTACAAACACGCGCCGTGAGAACGTGTAAACATCGCCACGGGACACGGCCTAACCGGGCCGCCCGTCTCAGAGATGAGGAAACAGGGGCTGTCGGTGAATCACCTGCCCGGGGCCCTGCAGCCAGGAGGCGGGAGTCTGGAGTCTGACTGCAGGCGCCGCCCATGGCCTGGCCCGGCCTGTCCACCAGGTGGCCGTGGCCTAGCTGTGACACAGGCCTCTCTTGCTTCCCTGGATAAAGATCTCTGGCTCCGGTCCCACCCTCCCAGCCCTCCTGGTTCGAATGAAGGGCACTCAGCGTTCCCTGTCGCATTTACGTGCCCCGTGGCTATTTCAGGACCCACGTGCCATCCGTGCCGGGAAGAGCTGGGCGCGACAGGCTGTGTATCTCTGCCCAGAGGGGTATCGGTCCCAGCTCCTCCCAGGCAGCGGGGGACCTCTGAGACCTGACCCAGGCACTGCGCAGGTGTGTCTTTTTCCTGTGTCCTGGCAGTGCCACTGTGTCCCTGCCCAGGTGAATGTGCCCAGCTGGCATCACTGGGCACCCGTCTCTCTTGCTCTTCCTTAATTTATTATAAAGGAGGTGCTGATAAGCGGCCACGTGAGCCTCCGGGGATTCAGTGTCCGCGCAGGTCCGGCCAGTCACGACCTCGGTGTGGCCGTGTCACAGGAAGCGGGAGATGGAATTTCTGCAGGGTCTGCGTGCGGCATGGGTGCCGTTGGCGGGGTGTTTGTCTTCAGCTGCCCCATCTGTTGGCGAGGACACGGCGTCCGGATGGGGCCCCGGCGCTGCCGTGGGGAATGTGAGCCCGCTGTCCTTGCGGGTGCATGTTACAGGCTCCGTCTGCGTGCCAGGCACCGGGCTGGGCATTGGTGGCCTGGTCCTGGCCCTTTAAGAACCTGTGTGCTTCGTCAGAGGCCGCCAGCCCGGTATGGTACCACCTGGCCTTGGGGTTTGCGCCCAGGGTTTCAGCCACCGGCCCCTTGAATGGCCTCCAGGATGGTGATAGCCGCCCGACCCAAAATTCTGTTCCAGCTCATACACAAAGGCGAGCCTGCAGGGCCGGGAGCGAGCGCCCAGGAGCAGGTGCTAGAGGTACCGGCCCAGAAAGAGAGGGAAGTCGGGGAGTCAGGCAGGGGGCAGAGGGCAGGGGTCCAGGCTGCCAGCCCCTGCTGGTGTGGGAAGCAGCCCCTCCCCGGCAGGAGCGCTGGGATGGCACTCCTGTGTGTGTGTGTGGGGGGGGGGGTTCTGATGTGCTCAGGGGTTATGGAGGACCAGGGGAGCAGAAGAGGCAGGCGTGGCTGCGGGCACTGCCCCCCCCCCCCCCCCCAGGCCTGAGATGGGCGCGCTCTGCCCGGGTGCATGGGCTGTCACTGCCAGGTCCCCAGGCGTCCAGAGTAGAGCTTGTCCTGGCGGAGGGATGGCCGTCCCAAGACTCACCGGCGGGACGTGGGGCACAGCGCGGGACAGGGAGTTGTGAGGGTCACCTCTGCCTTCCCCTGCTCACAGCTCTCTCTCTGGGCCAGGGGTCGGCAAACTCATTGGTCCGCAGAGCCAAATATCAACAGGACAACAATGGAAATTGCTTTTGAGAGCCACATTTTTTAAACGTAAGCTTCTTCTAACGCCACTTCTTCAAAGTAGACTCGCCCGGGCCATGGTATTTTGTGGAAGAGCCACACTCAAGGGGCCAAAGAGCCGCAGTTTGCCGACCACAGCTCTGGGTGATCCAAATGCTGAGTGATAATTGCTAACCGTTAGGAAGGGTGTGTGCACTTAGCTCACTTCATCCAACCCAACGAGGAGACGCTGTTATTATGACCCCATTTCACAGATGAGGAAACTGAGGCCCAGAGTGGTACAGCAAGTTGCCCAGGGCTACAGAGCTCCGAAGTGCTGGGTCTGGGATTTGAACCCTGGCTCTAGATTCAACTTCCCTCCCCACCCTGTTATTCCCCACCCCCCACACTCGGAGTTTAGGGGAGGCTTCTGACCACGTGGCTTTCGGCGAGACCCTTCCTGTCTGAGGCCTCAGTTTCCCCAGATACCGAACAAAGAGGACCGGCTGGCTGCTCCACGTGCTGGACCGGGTGGGTGTTTTAATAGCTCTGCCCCATCCGGGGCCTAGCCTGTGGACACCTCAGCTTGGGGAGTGACTGCTCAGCTCTCAGCTTCCTGTTTCCAACCCCAGGCCCCTGCCCGCTTGCTTTTCCTGGCTCTTTGCTAGGGACTGCCCAGGCCACCGGGCCTCTGAGCCTGCCCCTCGGCATAGCAACGGTCACTCTCACAGCCCCTCACCCCTGGAGGCCTGACAGCAGCTCCTGCAGCTGGGGACAGGGGGCTGGAGTGGGAGGGGGTGGGGTAGCGTAAACACCCCCACATACACACCATCCCCTGGAGGGTTTGGGTGGGCCCTGCCTCTGGAATGACCTCCTGCAGCTGCCTGGGAGGAACAGCTCCTGGAGCTGACTGTCTTTGCTCCGAACCTGTGGCCAGGCCGCCTTCCCCATGGCCAGGGCAGGAGGGAGCTGGGCGGGGAGGGAGAGAGCCCTGACTGTTGAAACGTCGTCTGGAGCAGGTGGAGCCACCTCCCTGGCCTCAGTTGTCCCATCTGTCAAATGGGGAGGCCTCAGGAGGGGAGATGGACGTCGTGAGCAGCCTCCGTCGGGGAAGGAGGCGTGCCTCCTTGTTATTTTGCTGGGCCGTGGGGTCTGGGTGAGGAGCCGAGGCTGTCAGCGGGGTGTGCAGACAGAAACGAAAGCTCAAAGGTGGCAGCACAGCTCACACTGGTTCAGCGCTTACAGGCACCAGGCGCTGTGGTGAGGAGTTTCCTTACACACTGTCATTCTCAGAACAAGCCCGGGAGAAGTTTGCATCCTCTGTACAGAGGGGGAAACTGAGGCACGGGCCAGCGAAGGACTTTGCACACAGCTGCGAAGTGCTTCACACCCCGGCGTTCTGGCTCCAGCGGCAGTGCCCGCTTTGGGTTTCGGCTTTGGCTTTTCTCCCGAAGGGGACTGGCCTCTCTCTGGGGACTCTGGGGCAGCCAGGGGCCTGGAGTCTGCACAGATAGGACACCCGCCCCCTGGGCATGGCTGCGCCCGGGGGATGGGCAGAGGTGTGGGGGCGACCACCAGAAGGCGAGGAAGCTGTGGGCTGCACATAAGCAGGACCGAGGCTCCGAAGCTTGGAGGTGGGGTGGAAGCTGGCAGCCAGTGCCTTCCCCGGCCCCTGCCAAAGGCAGGTCCACACAGCTGCCAAGCCCAGGGCTGCCTGCCCACCACCAGGGGGTCAGTTGCTTTGCCCACCCCTGGTCACTCTGTGGCTCAAGCATTTGTCACTTTTGGCTCTAAGAGAAAAACGTGATTCTGATCTCTGAGTCACCCGTCCCCGCTACGCCCTCTCCCTCTCCCCTCTCTGCCACACATGTGCATGCGCTTCTGCAAAGCTGCCTTACCGTTTCAGGGGGGAGAGTGGGAATAGTCATTCTGGCTAAATGGCAGGCTTCTCCACTCACTCAGCAGATGTGTATTAAGGGCCTACTACGCGCTGGGTGCCAAGTACCTGGGAGGCGCAAGGCAATGAACAGGAGCTTCTAGAACTTGTGGCCACTGGCCAGCCTCCTCCCAACACCCACTTCCTCGGGCACGCACCTTCCCAGCTCTGCAGCACCTTCCCTCAGGCCTCCTCTGTGGGCTGCAAACCCAGCTCGGCCACTTGCTGGCTGTGCTGCTTTGAGCTTGTTACTTACCCTCTCTGAATCTCCATTCGGTCACTCATCCTGCGGATATTCATTGAGCACCTACTATGCGGAACCTGCCTTCTCCCAGGGGGAGACGATGGACAATACCTTTAATAAGCAATTACATATGTTGGAGGGGATGCCCCGGGAGGTAAGGCGGCTGGCAGTGGAGGCATGTGCTGCCATGGGGTGGACTGGGTGGACTGGCCTCTTTCAGAAGGTGACCGCTGAGCAAAGACTTGAAGGAGGCGAGGGAGAGAGCCGTGTAGAAATGTGGAGTTACCCGGCAAGTGTGGCTCAGTGGTTGATTCCTGGTCAGGGCACGTGCCCTGGTTGCGGGATTGATCCCAGTAGGGGGTGTGCAGGAGGCAGCCAATCAATGATTCTCTCTCACCAGCGATGTTTCTCTCTCCCTCTCCCTCTCCCTTCTTCTCTGAAACAATAGAAATGTATTAAGGAAAAGAAAAGGGAACGTGGAGATGGGAGGTGCAGGCAGGGGGCCCAGTAGCCAAGTCCCAGTGGGAGCTAGCCGGCCAGTCGATCCAGCCAAGGGCAGTGGTTTTCACACGCCCCTGTGCCCACCGCACGCTCGTCCTTGCTCTCGCTCGCTGCCTGGTTGTTCCATGTGCATCGCTGTGATTTGCCTCCAACACCAAGCCATGCCCTGCGCCTTGAGCGCCGTCAGCCTGGATTCCAGGAGGCGGTCCGGACCCATGCCTGCCGGCTCCGGCTGCGCAGGGTTTCTGGTCGACCGGGACGTGGGAGCTGGGAGAGCCCAGTGCCGGCCTTGCCTGTGCCTCCGGCCGCAGGAGGGTCCCTGTTCCTGACCCAAAGGCCGGGGCCACTCCCATTCGGCCCTCTGCGGGACGGGTGCGGGGTCTGTGACCGGGAGGTGCCTGTTTGCTCGGGGTCACAGACAAGCGTCCATTGTCCTCCTTTGGGTCCGCGGTGGAAAGCTCTGAGAGGCAGCCAAGGGGAAGGGAAGTCCTGGCCCGGCCAGCGGAGGAGGGCTGTCGGAGAAGGCTCCTGCTCCAGCTGAGTGGAGGCGGGGCTGTGCGCCCTCCACCAGGCTGCTGGGGCACAGGTCCTGGCAGCTGCTAGGCCCAGGTGCCAGCCCCACCTGCGTTTCCTCGGCTGCCCGGACTTCAGACGCATTCTTCGAGCTCTGTGGTCCTCCTGTTCTTTCCTGTGAGACCGGTGTAACGGGGACCTAACGGCTCGCAGGCGAGGGAGTCGTGTTGGCGGGTGGGTTTCTCCTCTGTCAGGGGGGCTGGGTTCCCATGCAGACACCTGGCCCTGGAACTCACACTAAGTCACCCCGTTGCTGAGAGAGCACAGACGGGAGCTCGGTTATCCCCAATGAGGATATGCCTGGAGAGGTGGGGACACCTGTGCCACTTACAGTGGGTGAGGAGGGGCCGAGTCCGAACCCGGAGTCTTTCTCCCCCGTTAGGCTTTCGGTCATTCTCCTGTTCCACTTTAAGCCTCTAGAGCAGCGGTTCTCAACCTTCCTAACGCCTCGATCCTTTAATACAGCGTCATGTCAATATCTGTGTCGCGACCCACAGGTTGAGAACCGCTAGCAGGGTCCCCTAAGACCATCGGAAAATGCAGATATTGACATGACGATTCATAACAGTAGCAAAATTACAATTAGGAAGTAGCAACGAAAATGATTTTATGGTCGGGGGTCACCACCACATGAGGAGCTGTATTAAAGGGCCTCGGAGTTAGGAAGGTTGAGAACCGCTGCTCTAGGGGGTTTGCAGGACAGGCTGGGAGGCAGTGAGCTCCCCGTCCTGGGAGGTGTGTAAGCACAGGCTCAGCTTAGTGGGAAGTGGCAGCAGGAACTTAGAAAAAGGCTGAGTGATTGGCCGATGCCACGGACTACCCCTTCGAACACTCCCTGCCATCTCAGGATAAGGGCTCTATCTTATTTGCCTTGGTCTCACCGGCTCCCCTGCTGCCTGGCACACAGCACTGTGCACTGTGGTACCTCCAAAGCTGGTGAATGAGTGAGTGAGTGAATGAATGAATGAATGAATGAGGAGTGATGCCCATGTCCAGTCGGCTCAGGGATGAGGGAAGTGTGATCCAGAGTAGAGAGGGCATTTGGGGAGTCCGGCGCTGGGGTGGGTAATACACCCTCTGCTTCCCCGCATGCATGTGGGTTCTGGGGCGGCTTGAGGATTAGCAACAGGGCTTCCGGATGGGTAGCTTTTGCTTTAAAGCCAGCTGAATGCCTGCCATCTGCCCATCTTTGAGGGTCGAGGTCAAGGATAGAGACTTGAAACAAGATGGAGCTGAAGTGAAGCTCCGGCTGTGTGAACCTCAGTTTTCTCATCTGTAAAATGGGTCCACTGGCAGATCCAAAGAGAGCATGCTGGTAACTGCTTCACTCGAGGGCTCTTGTTGGTGGCCCTGCCCCTCCCTGTCCGGTTCTGAAAGGACCCATTGGAATCTCTCCCAGCACCGGAGGGGAAGAAGGGCCTGTTTTTAGGTGCAGGCACGGAGGAGAGGGGGAAGTTGCCCCCCTCTGGCTGGAGCAGAGACGGAGAACGTGGCGGCTGTTCTGTATTGAGCGCTTGCTGTGTGCCAAGAGGCATATCTGCCCTCTCGTCGGATTCTCATACACACTCCGGAAGCAGCTGTGAGGACAGTGCCCGCTCGGAGAGAAAGCACTGGAAAGCCGGGAGGAACTGGTGTGCCAGGGTCACATACCTAAGAAGTTTGCGCTGGAACCAGTCGGCTTGTCCTTGGGCTCATTGCTCCTGGGACCCCGGCGGGTGCCCTGGGGGAGGCAGGGCCCTGCACCGGTCACTCCGTGGGACTGGAGGTGCTGCATCTTCTGGAGCAGACCCTCCAGGCCCCGCCAGCTCCGAGCCCGCGGGCTGGACTGCACGTCTGAGCTGGCGGAGAGGAACCAGGGCACTGAGCCTCCTGCAGGCCAGTCCTGCCTGCTGCCCCCGGCTCAGCTCCGTCCTCTCGCTTCTAGGAGTTTCTCTGTGACCAGAAGTACAGCGATGAGGAGGACCTGCCAGAGAAGCTCTCAGCCTTCAAAGGTGAGCGGGGCTGGCTGCCCCACCCTCAGGCCCCCACACGTGGGATTCCTCCCCCCAAAGGGCCAGCCTGCGCCCGTGTCATCCAGAATGCCCCATTCCTGGTGCCCAGTGAGAGTGGGCAGCCCCTCCACGGCCTCCAAGCCCCCCTGCCCCTCCACCCCTCTCCTGTAGGCCTCAGCCCGCCCCTGCCCTCTCCCCACAGCCGCCCCGCAGGCCCAGGTTGGCTCCTGCCACGCTGCCCAGGCCCTGTGCACACAATCAGGTCTTTGTGGCGCCCTGGCCTCTCCCCCTGCAGCTCTCCCCTCCGGCGGGCGCTGCGGGAGCCCCTGCGGAGAAAGGCCGTCTGTGTCTGCGCAGTGGGCCGGGGGCAGAGTTTCTGCCCGTTGGATCCCGGCAGCGCAGCATGAAAAGAAAACAGGCGGAGAGGGGGCGCATAAAGGTCCCTCTGTTCCCCGGCGCTGGTTCCCGGCCAGCGGCTCCGAAAGGAGAGGAGCCCGCACATGGGAGCGAGGACCCACCTTTCCTGCCCCCCCCCCCCGGGGGGTGCACACGGGGCACCAGGGAGGACCACGCGAGCATCCTCAGGCCGCATCCCCCCAAAGCCGGGCACTGCGCGCTGTCTCCCTGCTCGGTCTCCTCAGACTCCTGCCCCGTGGCTGTCCGGGCAGGACACCCGTGGCGGAGCACGGGCAGTTGACTGGGGGTGGTGGGCTCCCTGAACCGCCCCGTCAGCCAGGAGGGAGGGGTGCCATCTGTAAGTACAGAGAAAGTCAGCTCAGAGAGGCGGGTCACGTGCCTCAGCTCACACAGCTCGCCCTGGGCAGAGGTAGGGCTTGAACCTCCATGGATCTCACTCCCAACCCCTGCTCTTAACCATTTTACACTAAAAACATAAAAGAACTAGGACCAAGATAGACCCATCCCTTCCCCATCCCCCTCCCCTGCCAATCACCCACTGGAGAGCCCGGCGAGGGAGGAGCAGCCCTCCCTCCCTCTAGTCGCCCCTGGGTCACTGCAAAGGTGGCCCTGGGAAAGGGACAGGTCTCTGCGTAGTAGGTGCTTTGTGTGTGGGGGGGGGGGGGGGGGCGGGGAGGGGAGAAGGGGGGTGCCCAGCTAGAAAGCTGGGAGCCCTGGGACCACCTGGGAGGGGCATTCCAGGCCGAGGGTGGCAAGCCCAGTGGGAGCAGGTGGGGCCGGGCCGGGCCCAGCAGGCCTGTGGGAGGAGCGGAGGGGACGGAGGGTGAGGCCGCTGAGAGGCGGGGGCACAGCTGCTGCTGAAGGGCACAGGGAGGGCCTGGCTCTTGCGCTGGCTGCTCTATGCAGAGGCGACTCGAGGGCCCTGCTCTCCTGGGCCGGTGCTGCCCGTGGCCTCAGGGCTTGTGTGCACACACCGCCGGACAGATGCCAAGGCGCTCAGTCACTCTGGCTGCTGGGGTTCCTGGACCCCTGCCTCGGGGCCGTTCGGTTCAGTCTGTAGGTGAGCTTGGTGGGGAGGGCAGGCCACGGGCATTCCTCCGGTAGAGCCGTGGCTTGTCGGTGTTGCCCATGACGGAAAGATCCTGGACCACAGGGGCTCCTTACCGGCGGTGCCCAACACCTGGCTGCCCGTGAGAACCTCCGAGGCACCCCGCAAGCACGCAGTTCCCGCTCCCCCATCTCCCGTTACCCCCCGCCATCAGCCTCTCCAGGGCCAGGATCTATTGTAGTCCCTGCGGCCGACCGAACCAGCCAGCCGTCCCTGGTGGGCCTGGAGGGACACGGCTGCCCCGCGCAGGAGAGGGCGGAGGGACCCTGCACGCCTCCCCCCGGCCCATCGCAGAGGAGAGCCGGCAGGACGGGCTCAGCTGAGATGATGGGCTTGTGCTGAGACCCCCAGTGGATGAGGCGTTAGGTGTGGGCTCCCCAAGCCCCTGAAGTTCCCCCAGGGGAGTCGGTGGGATCCGCAGGGGACCCCCTCCTTCGAAGCTAATGCCAGTCTCTGCTCTGTGATTTCCAGAGAAGTACATGGAGTTTGACCTGAACAATGAAGGCGAGATCGGTGAGTGCGGCCTGAGTGCTGGGGACCAGGGTGCTCGGTGGGTGGACGGTGTGGAGGTCCAGAGCCGCACAGACGCCAGATGTGCGCACACACACCGAAGCCTTCCTGGTGGCTGGGCCAGCTGAGCCGGGTTGGAGTCCATGGCCCCCAAACTTCTCTCCCACCGGTTCCCTCCCCGATCCCTCACTGCCCACACCTCGGCCTCCCATCCCAGGGGACCCAGCACAGAGCTTCTGACCCCCGACCGAGGGGGCTGGCGTTTCCTGGGTCCCCAAGCCTCCCTCCCCTCTGCTCACTGTCCGGCAGGTGACAAAGTCCTGCTGTGACTGGGTCTCTCCTCCAACAGACACACCCTGACCCACCATCCAGATGCTCGGGTGACAGACACCTGACCCTGACACTTGTATTCAAGGCTGTATCTTGACGTTCACCAGTCACAAGGCTGGTTTAATCATCCCATTTCACAGCTGGGGAAACTGAGGCTCAGAGAGATGGAACCACTTGCATGTGGTTGGTAGGTGGCAGGCCTGGGTCCCCATCCCTCCTCTGGCTCACCCCGAACTCCAGTGTTGCCGCGTTTCTACTCCCTCTGCCTTCCCTCTTTCGAATATTTATATTCTTTTTCTTCTTAAGAAAAAAAAAAATTACCAATACATTTTCATCAGAAGAAAATTCTGGAAAGCCCAGCAAAGCACAAAGACAAATGGGGGTCGCCCACAGCCAGCGCCCAGAAATAAGCGCTCTGCGTGGCTCATGTCCTTCCGCTCTTTGTTCTGCTCACAAATGCTGTTTTATAGCATTTTCAGAACCTCCTTTATTTCAAAAAGGAACATATTGTGAGTATTCTGACATGTGATTTACTTTTCTTTTGAAATACAATCAGTGGCTGCATAATATTCCATTGTGGGGATGGACCATAATTCATTTGGCCAACGCTCTGGGGCAGTGGTCGGCAAACTGCGGCTCGTGAGCCACATGGGGCTCTTTGGCCCCTGAGTGTGGCTCTTCCACAAAATACCACGGCCTGGGCGAATCTATTCTGAAGAAGTGACGTTAGAAGAAGTTTAAGTTTAAAAAATTGGCTCTCAAAAGAAATTTCAGTCGTTGTCCTGTTGATATTTGGCTCTGGCGACTAATGAGTTTGCCAACCACTGCCCCAGGGCCATTGATAATCCTGCGAAGGTCATCTTTGTAAGGGAATCTCTGTCCACAGTATTTCTTAAATCTTAGGAAAGAGACGTCCCGGGTCAAAGGTTTTTGAAGCATCCTGCCAGCTGGCCTTCCAGAAAGTTCTTGCCAGCTTCAAGTCTGGCTGGCAGCTGTGGGAGCCCTTTCTCTGCTTTCTGCAGAGGCTGCCCAGCTCTCTTTGAAATGCCCTGGACATCCTGGCACCGAGGGGCCTGGCACGGCTTCTGCGTGCCCCGCCTCTCGGGTGAGCTGGCTACACTGCCGGCCCTAAACCTGCCTGCCGCACCCCCTCCCGCCTCCTCTGCTGACCATTGTTCACGGAACAATCCCGAGGAAACGGCCTCAGATCTTGGGAGCCTGGTGGTCAGCAGCAGGACTCCTCAGGGCGGAGTGATTTTCGGTGCCTCCCTTGTTTTTCTGGAATTTTGTTCTTTGGTTGGCTTTCCTGCTCTGCAGGGTATTTTTGGACCCTCTCCCTTCTGGCCAAAGTGGTGCCCTGGGACTGCAGGTGGGAGAAGCTGGCCCCTGGCCCCTGGGAAATGGTATTCATGCCTGGGGTCAGGCCACGCCCCTGACCATACCTCTCTGGGCAGCGGCCTCCTGGCTCCCTGGGCAGCGGCCTCCTGGCTCCCCCTAACCACAGGAGCAGCTGCGATCACAGTAAAGAGCTGCTCCATTACTGTGTGCATGCCTCCTGCAGGTCCTTCTCACGCAGCATCCCCCCCAATGGTCCCATCAACCCGTTTTTTAGGAAAAAAAATTTTTTTATTGATTTCAGAGAGGAAGGGAGAGGGAGAGAGAGGTAGAAACATCAGTGGCGAGAGAGAATCATTGGTTGGCTCCTTCCTGCACGCCCCCCACTGAGGATCAGGCCCACAACCCGGGCATGTGCCCTGACTGGGAATCGAACTGTGACCTCCTGGTTCATAGGTTGATGCTCAACCCCTGAGCCACGCTGACCGATCCCATTAACCCCTTTGACCACTGATGGGAGCAAGGGTTCAGAGAGGTTAAGTAGTTTCCCCTGGGGCCCACAGCCAGAAAACACAGAGCTGGATTCCAACCCAAGTCTCTGTGACTCTGAAAGCGCAGGTCTCTAACCACTAGGCTACCTTGCCTCCGAAGAATAAGGGGAGGGCGTGATAGGTCCCTAGAGGGGCAAGGCCATGGACTGCAGTCTCCAGGGAGGGGCCGTCCAGCCAGTGTCCCCACTCGCCCGCCGCCTGTCTCCACGTCCTGGGCCTGCTTTTCCTCCCGCAGACCTGATGGCTTTAAAGAGGATGATGGAGAAGCTCGGGGTCCCCAAGACCCACCTGGAGATCAGGAAGATGATCGCGGAGGTGACAGGTGGGGTCGGCGCCACCATCTCCTACCGAGACTTTGTGAACATGATGCTGGGCAAACGGTCGGCCGTCCTCAAGCTGTGAGTACCTCCTGCCTCTCCCGGGGCCTCTGGAGGCCCCGTCCCTGTGTGTGGAGAGGCCCCTGGCTCGTGTGGGCAAGGCGTTTCCTTTCTCTGACCCTGCCCTCCTCATCTGTCCAATGTCACGCTAGCATGTACCTTGCAGGGCGCAGTAGCCTGCAGCAGAGGGCCTGGTAGAGTCGTCACTCAGTGAGTGACAGCTGTGATGATGACAAAGCTGCTGGCAAGACTTCCTGAACCTCAGTTTTCTCGTTTGTAAAGTGGCTCTGCCACCCGGAGGGCGGTGTGCGCGTGATGGAGTCCCACGCCGCTCTCTAGAGCGGTAGGTTGGCATGCTCTTCGTCTGTAAGACAGAGATGGAATAAACATCTTTCACGAAGCGTTGTCCTGAGGATTCATGAGAGAACACACTGAGGCCAGCCCGGTACCTGGCTGATGGCACCGAGACCTGTGGTGGCTGAAATCACACTCCATTCACCAGGTCTCCCCCACGAGGAGCCGCAGAGCAGTTCCCTGCAGTCTCGAGGTGTTTGAGCTGAAAAGGACCTTTCATCAAATGAGCTGAAGTCTTTTTTCAAATGTCCAATATACTGTCTCATCGTACAGAAGGGGAAGTTGAGGGTCCAGGAGGCCGAGTAACCAGCCCATGAGCTCACAGTCTGAGCTGGTCAGGGCTTTGTGTGGGGGTGGGACGGGGTAGGAGGTATGGTGGGAAAAGACCCAGGTCAGATGGCCCGGAGGGGGCAGCGGGCAACAATCAGTGACGATGCTAGTAAAAGGACATGGAAGGTTCAGTGCACATTTATTGTGTCAGGCACTTGACACTTTAGACTTATCATTTATTAATTCAGCAAATATTTATTGAGCACCAACTATTGTATATGCAAGGAATTAGTCTAGGTGCGGGGGACACATTGAGCTTACGTTCTAATGGCAGGAGACAAAACATCAGGTTGTCATGGTATAGTCCAAAAATCATAAAGTGGGAAGAGGAACAGAGACGATGCGACAATGTGGGGGGGTAGGGGGGTAAGAAGGAGGAGGGGGGTAGGGAGGATCTCACTGAGAAGGTGACATCTGACCGGAGCCCTGAATGAGGAATGTGGGAGGTGAAGAGCCATGTGAATATCTGGGGAAGCTTTCTGGGCAGAGGAAATTGCAGTGCAAAGGCCCTGCGGCAGAGTGTGCTCTTACTGTTAAGGAGCAGCACAAAGCCAGGGTGTCTGGGCCATCAGTAAGGATTCTGAGCGAAGGGCGGGCGGTCTGCAGAGGTGGGCAGGGGCCAGGGACGAGGGGGCCTTGTAGGCCCCAGTCAGACGAAGCGTTTTGTCCTAGTGTGGGACGGTGCCCCTGGAGTGCTCTCAGCCAGGGGCTGGCTTTTAAAAGCCCCGCTGGCTGCGGCAGGGGTGAGGAGCGGGAGGCCTGTGCAGTGAGAGATGCAGATGCGGCTTGAAGAGACTGCAGGACAGAGGCAGGAGCTGCTGGCACGGAGGGTGATTCTGGAGGCAGAGCCGAAAGCATGATTACTTGGCCAGATGTGGGGTGTAGAGGAAAACAGGGAGTCCGAGGAGTCTGGGGTCTGAGTAACTGAGTGACTGCCGTTTGCTTGGCAGGAAGAGCAGGTGGGGAAGGTGGGAATTAAGAACTCAGGTGTGATGCGTTCAAGGGAAGTGCCCTTCAGGCAGTTGAGGGGAGAGGCGGAGGAGGAGGAGGGGGGCCGGCGGTGCAGATCTGAAGCACAAAGACCAGCTGTTTGTGGACGGTCGCCCTTTGGATGGAATTAAAACTGGGGAATGCCTGATGCCCGGACCAGCTCCAGGATGTAAGCACTTGGGCCTCCTCCCTTCCAGGCGGAAACACCTCTGAGCATCAGTGGACCGAGTGCCTCGCAAGAGTCACCCACCAGCTGGGAAGTCGTAGGTTGGGACTCAAATCCAGCTGTTTCCCCCCCCAGAGACTCCCCTACGAATCCTTTCCTCAGCTCGCCACTTTCCTCTCAGAGCAGTGAGGTTTTTGAAGATCAGAAGGGGTTTTGAGCAAAGCTGTGGCCCAGCCTAGCTCCACCTCCTCCAGGCAGCGTGGTGAGGGGAAGGTTCGTGGCCTAAGAGTCAGAGATGCTGAGTCTGGTCCTGCTTGGGCTGCCTGTGTGGCTGAGGAGTCACACTGCCACTTTGCCCTCCGTTTTCTCCCGCGTGAAATGGGACTGGGAGCCCCGCCCATGCGCTGCATCTGTAGGAGCCTATCCCAGGCTCCGAGAAGACCCTGCTGGAGGATGGCTGAAGGGCGCTGAGCTGAGGACCACCGAGGGAAGGCTGGAGGAGCTGTCCCTGGATGGGAGGTCCTAATCCTGTTTTCTTTTTTCTCCATCTCCACACCAGAGTCATGATGTTTGAAGGAAAAGCCAAAGAGAGCAGCCCCCAGCCGGCTGGCCCCCCTCCAGAGAGAGACATTGCCAGCCTGCCCTGAGGACCCGCCGGCACCTGTCCCTGCCTTCCCGGCCCTCCCCCCTCCTTATCTCGCTGCCCTCTGGACTCATGTTTTGTCTATTTGGTTTTTTTGGTCGTTGGGCATGTTTATTTGTTTTCTCCATCTGCAGAAGCAGTGATCTCTTTGTAAAGCGCAAATTATCTGCCTTAGAGGGGATCTGGGGCCCCTCCCTCTTCTTCCACCCTCTCCCCACCCCCGAGCACGCAGAAGGGCTGACGTCAAACCAAAAACGGGAGAGGGCGAGGCTCAGGCTGGGAGGCTGGAAGCCTGAGATTCCTCCCCCTGCCTCCCCCCCGCTCGGAGCCTTCTTCCCAGAAGCCATGCTTCTCATCCTCAGTGAGCTGGCAGGAGGAAGGAAGCAACCTGAGCCCTTCAGGAAGGTTCCAGAAGAAATCCTCCAGCCTTGCCCCTTGGCAGTTCAGAAGGAGTCCTGTCTCTTGCTGGGCAGCAGAGGGCTTTGGAGAGAGAGGGGAGGCCAGGGGCCTTGGGGAAGGGGGTCTTCTCAGGCTAGTCCTACCTTGTAGGGAGGATACTGAGGGCGACAGGCTAGGAGAATGCAGAATAAAATGCCTGTGGCGAACAGAGCACAACTTGGCTAAGCCCACCAAGGTCGGAGACACGGGAGGGAGGCTGCCTTTCCGATCCGTCTGCTTGAAAATGACTGTGCTTCCCCCCTCCCGCCCACCTTACACCACTGTGCTCAGCGGTTCGGCAGGTACTTATCGACCGCCTATCATAAGCTTTAAGTCCCCCCACCTTGTGCTGATGAGCTGTGTCCGCTTCTCGGTAACTCCTCTCACCCTTTCCAGATCGCCCCAAACCTGAACTTGGGCGTAGGATCGGGGCCTCCTGTGTCCTCTCTTATGGACTCACATGGTTTTGCAGCCCCGACCCACCCTGTAGGTTAGCTGAGCCAGGCCTCTCTGTCACAGGTGAGGAAACTGGTGGCCACAGGGGTTAAGTGCCTTGCCCGAGGCCAGGGGCTCATCAGGAGACGCAAGAGTCTGGCCTGGAGCCCAGGGTTCAGATGCCTTGCCCAGTGCCTCCTCTTGGCTGCCCCCGATGGGAACAAGGGCAGGGGCAGTCAGCACCGGGGAAGCCCCAGGGCCAGGATTCCCCTCCCCAGTGCCTCTGCGTCAGCACCAGGGATTGGGTGCGGGCCAGGCCCGCCTGTGTAATCCCGCGGTCCCTAGAGCTTTTCCCTAAGCCGCATCTCAGAACTCACGCAGGTGGCACCCTCGGCCCCAGGTGGGCTGAGCGGGAAATCGGCCTTGGCCCCACCTGAGTTCTGGAGTCCCTTACTCTGCCCTCAGGACTTAGATGTGCTCATCCATGGAACCTATTTATTAAGCATCTGCTGTGGGCCAAGAGCTAAGAACCCGAGTGAAATAGACTCATTTTTAGGGTCCAATGGGGAAGTCAGACCCAGACGGGAAAAGTGAGATGAATGTGAGGGAGGAGGGGGCTCTGGGTGCCTGCCGTGCAGTCCCGGGGGAGCCCTGCAGAAGCCTTTGCCCCACCTGGAAGGGAAGGTGCTGTTGGAGCTGGAGCCAGCGTGGGCTCCTGGGGCTCCTTGGTGACCCGTAATCAGAGGCCGGGGAGCTGCCCTTACAGCAGCATGAGGGAGGGCAGCAGGCAGGGAATGGGAAAAGGCTCGGCCAGGTTCATCGGCTGGTCTCAGCCAGTTCAGCAGCAAGACTGTGTGGCCACGGCTGGCTGAGCTTCAGGCTAAGGAGCTGCTCAAGTGCCCAGGCCTAGTTGAAGTTTAAACCCAGCAAAAACAGTTCTCCCTGTAAATGTAAAATCTCACCCCCTTTCCCCCTGTAGATCATTAGCTAAGCAACTGCCTATTCCCACCCCTCCCTTCTACCTCTCCTCTCTGGGACAGGATACCTCTGAGCAAGGTAGAGCTTTCCTTGACTACCCACCATAGTTAGTGTGCCTGACCCTCACTCAGAGGAGGGCAGAGCCAACCAGGCTTATTTCAACAGGCCTCCAGTTTACACGGCCAGAGGAAAGGCTCAAGGGAGGAGAGTCAGGGATGTGTCCGCAGCTCTGGGAAGGGCAGGCAGCTCTCCTGGAGGGACGGGCTCGGGAACGGCCCCTGGAAAGGGGGGTCTGCATGTATTTCAGGTTGTGGCTATTGGCTCCTCACTGCTCCGACCCAGGGCTCAGCTTCTTAGATCTCCAGCTGTCTTCTCTCTGAAAGACCAAATCTAACAAACGGAACCAGAAACTTGGGGGGCACTGCCGAGTGTAGCTTTGTCCCCCGCGACTCAAAAGGAAAGAGTGTGTCCGGCAGGTTCCGGTGGATGCCACGTGTGTGCGGCGTGCATGGGAGAGTGTGTGGTGCCGGGTATCATCTCTACATACTGGAAATAAAACAGACAAACGTACCGATGTCTCGACTGGTGTGTTCTGGGGACGGGTTCCGGGGCTCCACACATTCTGAAGAGCTAGCTGATACAGTAACTGGATAAGAGTGTCTTGTGTACCAGGCTCTGCTAAACACGGAACTTCCTTACATAGCAACCTAAGGAGACCAGTTGTCATCCTTGTCTTATGAGAACCGGCATGGAACAGATCTGCAATTTGCTGAAAACCCAACAATGTGTCCCCTCTCTCCCCCTCCAAGTTAAGAACTTCTGTCCTACAGCATTTTCCACATAAATCCACTACAGAATAGTCAGCAATTAGCATATTCAGAAGAACTGAATTCTAATTCCGCCTCCACCGCTTTCTGACCCTGGGGTCCTGGGTGATTTTAACTTCTGGGTGCTTTCTTAACCTCATCAATTAAATGGCAAGGACTGAGGGGTGACTAGGATGTCTTGAAGATTAAATAACAAACACACCTAAGGTGTTTGGCGGCTTCCAGGCTTTTGCTTCGTAAATGATTACCTCGTAAGGAGCAAACAAAACTGAAGTTTGGTGCCCTTTAACCTCCCCAGTCTCCCGTGATGAGGCCCTGCCTGCCCCATCCACTTTCCGGACGTCTTTTCATTACACACACCCCCCCGCCGAAGCCCCTCTCAGGAGCGGCCTGTCAATATTTGTCAAGTTCCTAACTTCCTCGAATCGGGAACCATGAATAACCACCACAACCTAGTGTTCCTGAGGGGGTTTCCACCGAGTCCTGAGCGTCGAAAGTTCAGACGTGCGGCGACCAAAGACAGAAACCGATGCCACCCGCTCTGGCTGCGAAAGCGGGGGCGGCACCTGGACGCTCCCAGGGCGCAGGCGCGAGGGCCTCAAGGCTACGCCCCCTGGTGCTCGAGCCAGCCAATGGGAGGGGGCGGCCGGGAGAGCGCGAGAGTTCAGACAGTCCCTCAGTCTCCCCGGTCGGGAACGCGTGACGCCATCAAAGCGCGCCGGAAGTGCGGAGGCCGCCGCGCGCCGCCAGCCCGGAGCGTACGAAGTTGGCCTCGGAGCGACCTGGGCTGTGCGGGCAAGGCCGCGGGGGGCAGCGGCGGCTGCTTCGACCACCCGAGGGCGGCGCGATGGGAGACGAGATGGATGCTATGATCCCTGAGCGGGAGATGAAGGTCAGACACCAGCCACGGCCCCCCTCCCTCCCTTCCTTAGTTCCGGCGTTGCCTTGGAGCCCGGCTGAACGGCGAAGCGCGGGTGCCGGCTGCCCCGCCTCCTGCTTGAATATTTGCCGCGTTCAGTTTTCACCTGCAGGTCCCGGGCACGATGATGGTCCTGCCTAGTGCCGTTTCCTCTTCCCTGCCTGGTCTCGTGCGAGCCACCTGAGTTACTCTCGCTGCTTCCATGTGGTGGTCGGAGAAGTGATAAGCTGTTTATTGAGCGTTTAACTGTGTGCTGCCCGCTGAGTTAATCACACAGCCACCGTACGCAATAGTTGTTAAGAGAGAGGAGCAAATCAAACTTTCCCAAAGTCACGTTTGACAAGGAGGCTGAAATCTAGGTGATGGTTGTACTTTTTTTTTTTTTACATCCTCTCCTGTTCACTCACACTGTACTACTTCTGGAAGGCGGTCCAGGCTTGCCTAACGCAAAGCCAGGGTTCATTATCGGTCCTACAAAAAACTCGAGTTAATTAGAATAGAAGGACTATTTTGTTACTGAAAACCAAAGTCAGGAAACTACAGAGAGCGGCAGGTGATCCCAGTGATGGCTTCAACCCCTGAGAAGGCGGAAGTTGCAGGAAGATTTTAGGGTTTGAAACCCTAAGGACAAAAATGAAGGCTGGGAAAAGTTGTCTTTGGCTCTTAACACGTTTGGAATGTAAGCAAAAGGAAATTCACAACCTTTACACCAAAACCTCAACTTAAAGGATTATAAATTTAGAAGGAAAAGAAACCCTTTTGCTAGTATAATTCAGCTTAACATAGGTACTGGAAAATTTGTGGAGCTCTTTTTGCCAAGAAATCAATAAATACATTTTTTTAAAAAAAGAAGTGGTGCACACCAAAAACTGTCTTTGAGTGCATATAGGTAAATTCGCCAAAGACTTGGTGAGTCAGGCATTGACAGGAGATTGGGGAAGGCTCCCAGGCCCACAGGTGCTAAGGAGCATGAAAATGGAAGGAATGAAAGCTTGGCCTAGGTGGGGGCCAGAGGTCCCGCCCTGGTGGCAGGGAAGCAGTGTTGTGAGATAAGACTCCATAATGGTGGACCAAGCCATGCCTGGCCTCATAGCCTGTGGTAAAGGGTTGGACTTGTGAATGTAGGTCTTGACCATACATGTCCTTTTTTTTTGGTGGAATTTTATTTAGCATTTGATCCAGGTAAGTCAGTTCTTGGGATTTGATTACCATATCTTTCTCTGATCATTATTTCCATATATGTTTGTTGGGTGCTGCACTGGATATCTGAGCTTACAGTGTAGGTAGGGGATCTTTCAATATTTAACAATTTATTGAGCACTACTCTGGGTCATGAGTCAATACCTACTACAAAGTAGGTCAAGATTATAAATAATGACAGATAATGACACCTGCTTGTGTGGAGGTTAAGATGATAAATAAACTAGGAATTCAGAAAAGGAAAAGTTTAGTGTGAGCTGGATTAGTCAAGGAAGGCTTTGTGAAAGAATTTTTAAAAATATATACTTTAATTGATTTTTTACAGAGAGAAGGGACCAGGATAGAAAGTTAGAAACATAGATGAGAGAGAAACATCAATCGTTGCCTCCTGCATGTCCCCTACTGGGGATCGAGCTTGCAACCAAGATACATGCCCTCGACCGGAATCGAACCTGGGACCCTTCAGTCCACGGCCTGATGCTCTATCCAGTGAGCCAAACTAGTCAGGACGTGAAAGAATTTTTAAAAATTTATTCCATTGGCCCTGTCCAGGTAGCTCATTTGGTTAGAGTGTCATCCATATACCAAAAGGTTGCAGGTTTGGTCACCAGTCAGGGCACATACAGGAGGCAACTAATCAGTGTTTCTCTTTCCCTTTCTCTCTCTAAAATAATAAAATAAAATAAATTTTATTTCATTGAATAAATGTTAATAAACACTGCCAAGTACCACAGTATGTACAGGAAGCTTGAAAATGACTGAGCCACCTCGGGGTAATATGTATTTTTGTTTTACTGGAA